GTGTTGTAATCCTAACATGTCATTACAGATGTCATGCTCATAATGGAGCGGGTATGTGGTGGTTTATGAGAGTGGTTGGAAAAAATAATGAATGAGCAATACATGTCATGGTTAACACTGGACAAATAACTCAAACAATGCATCTAAATATTATCTCATCTAAATATTGCTATTGTTCAGCTACAAACAATCAAAAACAGACATGCAATCAACATCCAATCATTTCAGACCCTGTTGAATTTTTGGTACTCTCCTTATGTGGTAAGAGCAAACAGACTACGGCCCGGAAGTTTGAGGGGTTCGTGGGATGGTCAGTGCCATCTGCTCTTCCTGAGGATCTTTTCCAGGTGTGGCCTCCAAGAAAGTCACTTAAGTCCAGCTGTCACTTCCTGTCCTACATGATGGGACAACCATTTATACCTACAGCATGCAAGAGTATAGCAAGTGTCTCCTTCAGTGACAGTCTACTTCCGAGGCACAATGTGACCAAAGCTATTTACATCCAAAAAGACCTTCACAGATCTAGCAGTCCTGACCTCCCTCTACTTAAAACGTTGTCTAATTTGAGTTCTTAAACAAAGTGCATAAATGCAAGTAGTAAACCCAGAAATAGATTGTACGGCCCAGTGAATGTTTCTAAAAATTACGAGGTTTGCTTTGCTTTACTAAAAACAAAAACCAGAGGAAGCAGATTGACTGTGCAAGCAAGATAACTGCACGCCTCGAAAATTGCTACGTGCAAGCCTTCGCGAGTAAGTGCAATTCTGCATGCTTGCCCAGCATGCACTGCAAAAGATCACTGACTGGGTCCATTTCAAACCCTTCGAACCATGTTTTAAAAATACATTTCCTGTATATTTTATTCAAACGGTTTGAAATAAATAAATAAATAGGAATAATTTCTGAACGATCATGTGACACTGAAGACTAGAGTAATGGCTACTGAAAATCTAGCTTTGCCATCTCAGGAATAAATTACATTTTAATATATATTAATATATATATATATATATATATTAAAAAAGTTCTTCAAAACTCTATAATATTTTACAATATTTTTGTTTTTACCATATTTCTAATCAAATATACACAGCTTTGGTGAGCATAACAGACTTCTTTCCAAAACATTAAAAAAAACTATTTCAAAAATAATTTTAAATATTCACAATCAAATCGCATGTGATCTACTGTTATCTATGATGCGTCACTTCAAATGATATTTGTCTATATAAACAGCCTTGTGGGACTAAGGACAGACTTCTGTGCAGGACCACACACATACTGTAGGAGGTGCCCAAAAAAGCCTCATTGTAGGGGTCAGTGGTTCAGCTCTGGCATTCATGTGGCGTTTAATGAGCTTTGGTCAATAGCGAGCAGTGGGGATGGGGTACAATGGGAAGAACAGAAAACCACAGCTGACCAAAACCTCACCAATGCACTCCGTTGTGGCTCGTTGGCAGCCAACCAGACCCGTGCAGTCCCAGAGCGGCTGGATGTGTGGAGAGGAATCGAATCAGGTGCCAAATGACTTCACTCTCGGGATCCCAGTTAGGAAGCGTATTTTCTGCATATTGTGCAGCTGAATAACTCTAAGTTTTGTGAAGGAGGAAAAAATATTGTGTTAGGAGGACAACAGGCAGCGATTGACCCAGAACGATCAATTCCAGCACTTAGGAAGTGATTAATGCAAGGGAGCGCATAGCTGTGATCCAGAGCTATTTTGGGCTAATTAGAGAGGAAACGATCCCGAGACTGCCCAGCCGTCTCAGTATCCGTCAAGTTATCAGGCTAGTGACAAAGAACAGAGCACAGCTCAAGGTTGCACTCGAGCAGGACAGGCATGCATTTAGTGCAGGCGGGATGCCCAATTACACCCACAGCAGAGAGACCCCACCGGGATATTTATAAAGACAGCATGACAGAGATCTGATCTTTCCAAGATGCACAGGACATAAGTGCTGTACCAGTTCCTGCTGCTCAAGAATGAGTTAAACAGCACCTCAGCCAAACTAAGCATTTAGATGAACAGTCTGCAAGCAAAAACAAAAGCTTATCCCTTCCAGCCAAAAGCAAACTATGAAACTGTTCATAACTTGTATTCAATTTATGTAGCTTGAGGGGGGAAGCAAATGCTCCACATTCATCTTACAGTTCTACTCTAGATCTTGTAACTCTAAGAAATGTGACAAGGAAGTTAAATATTTTGTGATTCTGTTAAATTATTAACACGTTAGTCGAGTGAAAGTGACAAACATCACATAGTACATAAGTGAACCTACAAACAACCGTAATTTAATGTGTCTTCTGAGTACAAACAAAAGCAGGCGTGTACAGTAGTCAGTTTACTGCGCGCGTGAGTTTAATACACAGGCGATGCGGTAAAATCACTCCACAATCACAACACATGTATGAAACTCAAAACACTGTCTGATATCGTCTCTAAAACAACCGACCGTGACTTTCCACAACGCCCAACTTCGATAATAAAGTCTATTTGAACTTCAGCCCTTCCCTTGAAGTCACGAAGACATTTTATTTGACAACCACGCGTAACTTCTACTTAAATATACAGGGCAAGTATTCATGAGCGCTAAAACACTCGATAGATCAACAAACACATACCGTTTCGCTCTGGGTTAAGGCTTGTCATCTGGGCTTTTAGGACAGTCCGATATCCAAAGCGACAGTTTCATGTCTAGCGTGTCAACACACGGTTTTGTGGAGTAACAGTGTTACGCCTCGCCGTTCAGACTCTGCGTGCTGACAGCAGCCAGTGCAGAATGAGCAGAGCTACAGCGCGGACAAGGCAGTTCCTCACATACACGCTGGGCGGGAATATATAAACGGTGACACTATAAACGCTTACCAGAAACAGGTTACCTAGGAACTAGATAGAAAGATAGAATGACAGAATGATAGATAGACAGACAGACAGACAGATAGACAGATAGATAGATAGATAGATAGATAGATAGATAGATAGATTAGGACATGACAACTTTAATTGTCATCATAATATTTTTAATATGGAACTGTCTTGACAGACGTTAGACCATCAGACATTTACGAAAGAAAAAAGAAAAGTATATATATATATATATAT